ATAATTAATAATAATGGTCAAATTGCAATTAATATTACATATTATTAATTAATATCAATTGTCTCGAAATTTAAGTTGGTAAATTATGTTTAATTAATTAGCATTAAACATAATTAATCGTTTATTAAGGAAAATTAAAACAACTTTTAGACAATAATTATGTTTGGGGGTGAGATTTTCATTATCATAATTACACTATGCTTTTAATCGCATCTACCTAATCAAGGGTATTTAGAACAAATCAAATCAAATCAAAATTTCGAAGAATTACAAATGTCGAGTCATAGTTTTCTGTTGCCATTTTCTTACTCCACCCAAAAATATTATTATTATTATATATATATATGTATATATTTCATATAATCTTATGTCAAATTATAATATATAGTTTAATTATCGATAGATAAACAGAATTAAAGTACATTTGTCAATTAAAAAAAACAAAAGTTATTTAATATTCTCGATAAATAGATAATAACTTTTATTTATGCCACCGTCATTTGAATGATATATGAACGGGTCTACTTTCACCATTAAAATTTTGATGCCCGCAGAGCAAGACATTCATAAAGACTAGTAAATTCTAAATAAATTAAAATTAAGGAAACTGTGAATTCGGTTGGTACGAAGTTATTACATTCATCGGGTCCCACAAAAGTGGGGGCCATTAACCACTTACAGCCTGTAGTGTGGCTGTACATACACGTGTGTGTATATATTTATATATATGTATATATCATGGGCCTCAAACATGAGATATTTTTATTTATATTTTCATTTTCTTTCATTATTTGACTTGTCAAAAAAAAATTAAAATATTATTTTATTTTCTGTCATCTTCTTTTTTTTTTACTAATTATTTGAAAGTGAAAATTTAAACATAATATATCGTATACGAAAATCATACCATCTTAAAATTATTTAGAAAAAATTATTATTATTTTTTTTTTTGTAGAATATGATTATATATATACGTATTAAATAATCAACAATTGCATAATTAAATTAATAATAAACAGCTGGAATTTAACCCTTTAGCTTGACTGAGTTTGTCATGCCAAATAACATGATACGTATTGTGTTCCACTTTCTGTTTGTAAATCCTCCATTAGACCAAATTATTTAACTACTTAAAAAAATATATATAATACGTTGTGCTCATTTTGTTCTAATCAAAATGTAACAAAAGATTATAATTTATTCTTAAAAATGTGTAATATTATGTTTTAAAGAAATAAAATTAAATGTCGTGTTTTAAAAATTGTTACATAACTGATCATTCTTATCATCCCTTATTAAAATGTCAAAATTATAAACTTATATAAATAATGACACATGATATATTAATTAATATATTAATAAAATTATAGTGATTAAGTTAAACGATGTCTCAGTAAATTTGTTATATTTTTTAAAAAATAAGTATTTCGTAAACTAATAATATTATTAGCTAACTAATAAATTTATAATTAATGGCATTTAGAGGTGTAGATGTGATTTGTTTGCCTATATTTACTATTATTAGCCTGATTATCACTGGATATTTGTAATTTTAATTTTTTATATTATTAATTATAAAATAAATAATTTAATCAGATCGATGATTTAATTTATTAATATATTAATAAAATTATTGTAACACCCAACTATTTTTTTTAATTTTATTCTTATTATTTTTATTTTTATTTTTTGTATTTGAATTTTTTAGATTTTAATTTAATTTAATGAAAATAAAAATAATAATAATGATAAAATTGGGTAAAAATATTATTTGGATTTAATTGAAATTGATTTTGGGAAAAATGAGTGAAAATTTGGATTCTGGGGGTGTTTTTGAAAAGAAAATCAGAAACCGGAGGTCAAAACATAATTTTAAAAGTTGTGCCACGTCAGCAGCCCTGGCCAACTAGGACACGCCGCGTGGCAAGGAAACGCTGACACGGGACGGGCTACGTGGGCGATCCGCATGCGCGCGATCGGACGACCCAGATCCGTTCCCGCACGCACGGACGGCCCAGATTCACGCGTACGGACGGTGCAGATTCAATCAGGCACGGACAGCCCATATTGCATCGCGATGGACGGCCCAGATTTAATCCCAATTAAATCGTGATCGGACGGTTCAGATTTAATCTTGATGGACGGTTGAGATTAAAAGGCAAATGGTATAAATAACCCCACCCACACTTGACCACAAAACCCTAGCCGCCAGTGCCTCGTCGGAGAAGAAGAACCAAACGCCAGAGGAGTCGGCCGCTGCCACCCGCCGTCGCACCGGAGAGGTTTTCGACCGCCAATCGAGGTAAATTTTCTCCAATTGGCTCGTTTTTTGATGCTGAGTCCGCCTATGCCCAGACCGGAGCCGAACCAATGGCCAAACGCTCAGAAAATCTAGCCGAAGTTCGGCGGCGCCGCCGCGACTCCCATATGTTTTTGCCTCCGATGATGCCCTTCCCGGCCTTCGTTCGATGCAAGTTTTATATTACTATGATCACCATTCTTTTCTCTACAGGTTGATCGGAGTCAAACATCAAAACGCGACTCACGCTGGAGGAGCTGCCGCACCCGAGAGCACCGCCGCCGGTAAGTCTCGGTTTTTCGTGATTTTTTGGCCCCCCGAGGGCCCTAGGGTTATTTTATCGCAGGAACCGATGCAAGTTTGGCCAAATTTGGCCGAAAATGGCCAACCCGAGGGCGGATCGCCGCAGGCGGCGGCACCGTCGGAGCATGGCGGAGCCGCCGTGCTGGAATTCCGATATTGATCGAAAGGGGCCCTAGGTCTGATTTGAGATTTTTTGGGACACGTACAGGTACCGGTAGTGCATTTCAGTTTTCCAAAAAAAATTCAGAGAAATTAGGGACAGTCTGTAGACGCACTGTAGAGTCGATTTCAGACCCCGAAACAGGTTAGGACCCCTCACCTTATTTCCTATAACGGTATTAAAACTAAATAAATAATTAAACTGTACTTTGTGACTTTATAGATGTATAATTGATTAAGGTTGCCAATGGAGCCCGAGTCTAATACAGTGTTGGTCTGTTATTGTTTGATTTAATTTTCAGTATTAAATGCAGCATGATGTTTGATGTAATTATGTTATGGTCTCGTATGCATGAATCATGGTTTCTTTTATTATGATTTGTATTATGGTGAACCCGATACTGTGTTGTCTTGTTTGGTGTCAATTACTGGTTTACATGTTGTGTATGATTGGATGATTGAAATTAAGGAAAAAGGCAAGATGGATAATGTGGACAGCCTGACTAGATATCTTGGGAGATGGTGGACGGACCGGGTCCGTAGGGAACCCTACCGGGAACGTGGTCTCTCATACTTGATGGAGTATGGAGATCTTATGTGTTTTGGCGCCCATACCGGACAGGTTATGGGGACGGCCCGTTTCACCCTCATACCGAACGGGGTATTGAGGTTCATGGTTTTGGCGCCCATACAGGGGGTACGGGGGCGGCCCTGGAATCAGGTTATTAATGTTAATGGTTCACGGGTAGCGGGGACCCCCTATGGATCCCCATGGATACTAGTAGGCTGGCAAAAGAGGAAAATATGTTGAATAATGATTGAAATGCAAAGACGTGGTAAGTGTTATGTTATAAAGTCTATATGATTTCATGATGATGATAATGTTATTGCTTTCATATGTTGTTTTCATGGATCTCGGTAGTTAAGTGGACAGTAAAGGTTTTTATGTTAATAAACGAGTTTGTTATAAATTATGCTCCATTTGTCATTTTTGTTTTCTACCCACCTTTACTTCCGTGGCGGTGAGATAGTGTGATGTCTTTACTGGACTGGTGTAACTCATTCCTTATTTAACCATTTCAGATCAGAAATACTTTGTTCCTGAACTCATTCCGCAGGAAGACGGCGAATGGGACACCTAAAAACTTCATAGTTATATTTATAGTTCTTATTTCGAGTATTTCTTTTAGTTAGTTTGTTCCTTCATGTTTTGAGTACGTTTTGGTTATTGTGTAAGGGATGTTAATCAAAATTTTTATTACGCTTTTGTATTTGAGATTTTTAATACATATATTTTATTTAAATTTTCGAGGCCGTTACAATTATAGTAATTAAGTTCGATTAAATATTAATAAATTTATTAGATATATATTTTTTAATTTGAATATGATTATCCTTGTTAAAACCATATATTGGATATTAATACACCTCTCATCTATACAAGTCCAATTTGATTGGGCCTAGTGCGGCCCAGACCAGTCAAATATTTGCCTGTGACAGAACAATAAAAATGTTGTTATAAAATATTAAAATATAAAAATACATTTAATACAATTTATTAAAATACTGTAAAAAATTCATAGTTATTTCAAAAGCTTCTCTTATTTTTACTTTTTAATAGAAAATATTTAAAATATTATGCTATATTTTAATATTTTAGAAGTAGGTTAAAAATTAAATAAAATAATTGATAAAGATAAAAATATGTTTGATATTATTATTTTAATAAAATTAAAAAATAAATAAAAAATATAAAAAGAATTAAATTATAAAAATATTAAAAATTAAATTATAATAAAAAAATTATTATCAGCCAAATTATAACAGAGATAAATTGTAGATTTAATAATTTAAAACATGAATTTAAAAACAAATTCTCCAAAAAATTTTGTTCTGTTTCAAACATCTTTTGCAGGGAAAAAAAATAGATGACATTCATTTTGTATGTATATGTATAGATAGATATATGATATTTGATAAGCCCTCCTATTTCTTAAATGATAATGTATCCTGCAAGGCGCGCAAAATTACAAGAGACGTCTGCGATCATGCAGACAGGATTTCAATTTTCATGGAGCTGCCACGAGTCATTGTTGATGCATGGAGATACCAGGTGTCACAACCACCTGCAACCGCTCGAGCTTTGCCAGTTTTCCCGGTCAGTCTAATCCCTCTCTTGGCTCTTCCTTTTCTATCTGCATTTTGTTTGTCTAGACGAGAACTTGCTGAAATTAGGAAAAAAACTATTCGTCTTCAACGTTTGGATTGAAGACCTGAAAGTCAAAAAGATAACAAAAAGGAAGGAGAAGAAGAAGAAAAAGTGTTGGGAAAATGGATGTGCTGATTGACATGATAGCGAATGAGCACAAACAGGTTGTGCCCATAACAGTTTTTGTGGCTGTTCTCACCTTTTGCTTGCTTATTGGTCATTTGCTTGAGGAAAATAGATGGGTCAATGAATCTATCACCGCTATTCTCATTGTATGTATCTTCTTTTCTCTCTCATATATATATATATACACACACATATACATATATGTTTATATTTATGCCTTTTTTGTTCTGGGTATTGCTTCAATCTTTCAATTCCTGCTTTAAGATGTAGAAACACCAGTATAGAGATGTAATGTGCAAAATATCATTTGGAGGATTCTGCTAGTTTCTTGCTCCTTCACATATGAATTGGTTTTGTATTTGAGTTTTTTGCTTTTGATTTATATAAACACATTTATGTTTATATTTGTGCCTTTTTTGTTCTGGGTATTGCTTCAATCTTTAAATTCATTCTTTAAGATGTAGAAACAACCATATACAGATGTAATGTGCAAAGTATCATTTGGAGGATTCTGCTAATTTCTTGCTCTTTCACATATGAATTGGTTTTGTATTTGGGTTTTTCTGCTTGTTGATTTATATCTGGGTGTTGCTTCAATCTTTCAATTCCTGCTTTAAGATGTAGAAACAACAATATACAGATGTAATGTGCTCAATATCATTTGGAGGATTCTGGTTTCATATTTGGGTTTTTATGCTTGATGATTTGTTATTGTTGATGGGTTATGTCTGTTTTTCTTCATAGAAAATAATTAATATAGTATTGATATTTTCTGTTCCTGATAAGGGATGTATATCTGGAGCGGTTATCTTGTTGATAAGCAAAGGGAAAAGTTCTCACATCTTAACCTTCAATGAAGAACTGTTCTTCATATACCTCCTTCCACCAATAATATTCAATGCCGGGTGAGTTCAGTATCGTCTCACACCTCTTGTTCTTGATCTGGTTTCAATTGAATTTACCAGATTCACTTGCTTCAGGTTTCAGGTCAAGAAGAAGCAGTTCTTTCACAACTGTTTAACCATTATGTTATTCGGAGTAATCGGTGTTTTCATTTCAACTTTCCTAATTACAGCTGGTAATATATTTGTATCAACTGAACCCAGTTGAATCATGAGTTTTGCTTATAATTAATAATTATCTTCTAATCAGCTAGAATTTACTATTGACCTAGGCAGTTGGTGGCTGTTTCCTAAAATAGGCTTCTTCGGTCTGACTGCAAAAGACTATCTGGGTGAGATGTTCATTTATTTATACATATGTATTTATCTAAAATAGTTCTTGTTGTTTGGACATGATTCTGTGGTGTTGTGAATTCAGCTATAGGAACAATTTTTTCATCAACTGATACAGTGTGTACATTACAGGTGGGTAGGCTTGCAATTTGTGTTGCTACTGATCACTTACAGTAGCCTATCACCACCTTCTGATTTCATAGAGAAATAGTTTTATAAGAGTAGTGTTTATCCTTTCTGTAGGTCCTCCATCAAGATGAAACTCCTTTATTATACAGCTTAGTCTTTGGTGAAGGAGTCGTTAATGATGCAACCTCAGTTGTTCTTTTCAACGCTGTTCAAAAGATTGATATGGGACAGTTAAATGGCCAGAGGTCTCTTCATGTTGTTGGAGATTTTCTCTACCTTTTCTCCACAAGCACGGCTCTTGGGTTCTTCGTGAGTTTCTGTTTTTGGCAAATTGAATTAATCTGTTACTGCTTTTAACAAAAAATTAGGAGGACAATGAGAAGTTCCATGGGGCAAAAAGCATTATCATCCCATGACTCTGTTCCTTCCGAGAATTTCTTGATTGATGACTTGTCTAAATCCTAATTTTTTTTCCCTTGCAGTTTGGACTATTGACAGCAATCATCCTGAAAACCCTTGTATTTTGGAAAGGTAAAGCTCTTGTTTATATATTTCAAAACAAGATTACCACCTTGTTGTAAACATTCTTATATATTGAAGCCTGGA